TGTTTAACAGTACTGTTATGGAAGGTGCCAGCATCAATGCGAACTCTTTCAGTATACGCGATGGAATGTAATCTGGCCCTGGGGATTTGTTAGGCTTCAGGCTCAGAAGATGTTTCTTGACTTCATTAGTAGAACAATAGATGTTTTCCAGTTTTTTGTCAACAATGCGGTTTAGTGACGGAAAAGTATCGTGGTTTTCTACAGTAAACACTGAAGAAAAGTACTCATTCATGCTACTAGCGATATCGTAGTCATCAGTTAAGATAGTGTCGTCGATTTTCAGCGATAGGAGATCGTTTGTTCCATTACGTTTAGATTTTACAAAGTTCCAGAAAGGCTTGGGGTTGTCTTCCTTTAAATCTTGTGCTAGATCGTTAATATACGCCCATYGAGCAAAGTTGCATTTCCGTTTGACTGTGTTGTTTAAACTACGGTACTTTACCCACAAATTCTCATCATTACGTCTTTTTGCTCTTTTGTAGAGTGACTTCTTCTTTTTACATAGTGTTATATCATATCTTTAGTCCGTGTCCATGCGTCAATTCGATTCTGATACATAACAACTTTCCAGGTCTCAAAACAGAAAAGAGAAAATGAAAATGAAATGAGTTAAATGGAAGAGAGAAAAGAGGAAGTCTTCTTTTCCATCAAAATTCGGTCCTGTGCGCAATGGATTACGTAATGGATCCTCATACCGATCCCTAGGCTCTGCGCGGTCGTTGCAAGGAAAAGTTCTGCTCGTGCGCAGTACAAAATTGTTTCTTCTTCAACTTCAATTCTTCTTCAACTTTTTTTTTCCGAAATGAAAATCCCAGAGGAGAAGAGAAGAGGTGCAAGAAACATCTTCGTTTGCTTGAACTGGAAGGATCCAAAAACAGACCTTTCTCCGAGTAGTTCTGGAGGTGAACTCAAAAATATGCACGACTTTGAGCCGCCAATATAGTTTCAAGTCATGCATAAACGTTTCAGCGTTAACTACTACACAGAGGTAAAAATATTTTTGGCTATAATATTTTTTGGGAGGCCATCATTTTGTCGTGCATCATTCTGTCTCCAGAACATTGACAAAGTCAGCGATATTAAAAAACGTTTAACACGACATTATCATCTCTCTAATGTGTGTGCCATCGCGTCGGTATTACTCAATACATCGGAAATATTAGTAGAATGTAAATGGATTTGATTTGATCTGCGATATGATAAGCGCCTATATCGATTCTAAAATTGTCCCTGATAATATTTAAATAAACATGTATTTAAGACATTATGTTTTTTTTTTTGGGAGAAAAGAATAGCATCATTTTAGGAATTACTATCTTTGACGTCTAGTTTATTTGGAGGCAAAACGTTGACATATTTACTGATGACTAGAAAGCTGGTATGATGATATGTGACCTCCAGACGGTAAATATGGTAGAATGATATTCAAATCAGCGGGTGACGTAATGGGTGGATGACATCGCTTCATAATCCAGATAACAATGAGCGAGTAATCTTAGCTTGACTTTAGTGTCTTTGTTACACATAACTCGAGTATTCTTTCACCAAAGTACGACCTTTTCAGACTTCATTTACATAGACCAAGTATTGATCACTTGGACTAACTCGCAGATATCTTAGATTTAAGTGAGAGAACAACACAGAAAGGTAAGTATCCTCGTCTTAGACTGCAATACCTTAAGAGAACACAGTGTTGATGAGTGTTTTATCAAAAGATACCGGTACAAATACATCGTTTCGCTTCTTGGCTAACATTTTGTTCTGATATGGTTGATTTAGTTCAACGTCTAGCAAACATAACCAGATAATTTTATCAAAATTGCTCACTAAACACTATGATAACAAAAAGAAAATAGTCCATTGAAGTGCTCCAAGGCTCTGTTTAGTGGTATTTCCGTTAAATAAATAAGAATTCGTTTAGATTAGCGTGATATAAGCGAAATAAGATAGTCATTTCAGTGTTTACTTTTGATATTTTGCTTCACATTCGTCTCTGACATCCAAATGGTTTCGCCATGCCATTCTTCAACTCTGCACCCTTCTTAGGATTTTTCGAGTTCTTTATCTATCATCGTCTCTCTACCTTCTTTAAATAGAAATTATGGGACCATTGAGAATATTTCCGGCGAAAACAGTTCTAATAATTTGATCTTGCTATAACTGACTGTGAACACGTTTGACAAGAACTCATTCTTGGATCGATTCTGTCCGTACACTTATGTTATTTTTGCAAAAGGTTTTTTAAATGTACTTCTTGTATAGCAGTTAGATATTAGAGTCTTAATAAGACATAGATATAGTGATTATATGTCAGGCCATAAGAACATAATAATGAAGGTGAATATTAGTTTGACAAGACGTTGAATACTGACAGTCTTCCAAGATGGCTCACCCCTTCGGCTATTCTTTGATCTACACGTGATTGTCTTAAAGGTGTTTGCGTCTGTGAAGTCTTATTTATCTTTGCTTATGATTTCATAACAATTTTTTATTGTGGAAAAGTAATTAGAGAGAAGTATGAAGAAGCTATTTTCTCTTAAAGATTCTAGTTCTTTGCTTAGAAATTTACTTCGTGACTAATAAAGAAACAACARTCGTTGTGTTTCTGCACATTTTTTGGTCAGGAAACGGAAATAATTCAGCCGACAATCACTTGAGGTTGATATTATTACCATTGTTATTTACTGCTTTGTTAATTTTGTTTCAGGAAAACCTTGACAGAACAACTTCGCTGTGTTCTTATTGCTCTTATTGTATGGAAGCTGTTGGAAGCTGTTGCACGAAGAAAATGTAAAACCGTCACGTCGAGCGTCTTACGTTGTTTCACGCAATATATTTTGCACTGGATCGCGCTTTTCATTATAATAATAAAAGAAAAGTGACTGACTTACCTGAAAGGACATTGCTTTTTCTACATTGAGTGACGCTTTGGTTTCGCGTGAGTCACTCTGTCTTGTATAAACTGAATCACGCTGTCCACCACTTCGAGTCACGCTGCATGAAGCTACCATGTCAGGCAAGAAAAACATCAAACTTAGTCGGTCTTTTCCCGCTCGAGTGAAGAACGAAAACAAATCTCGTCAACCGCTACCGTTCAAAAGGTAAGAGAGTGTTAAAATATTCCATGTGAGACCCTTAACCTTTTGCACTAGTCCAAGTCACTAGAAGATTAAGAACTTGATGATTTGATGCGTGTGACTTTAATATTTCCTTTACGAATTCTGTATTAAAAGAAAACATCGCTCTAAAACTACACGTTAGGAGCATACGTATTCTATAAAAAGATTCAAGAAACTCGACGAAAACTTTCTGCAAAGTACACTAATGGTATTTTCACACAGGACAGCAGTAAATAAGCATGCGCATATTTTGCATACTATATCCTAGACTCTTCCACAGTCTCTCGCTCGTCCGTTCCGTCTCCACGCTTAGAGACTGTAACGGTACAATGACCGAAAGGACTTATGGGTCCCGAAAACTTGGACCCAGCGTGCTTTGGGAACCAAAATACTCGTCCACAGTCTCTCTCTTTTTCGCCGCCATCTTGAAAATATTGAAACGAGAGAGACTGTGGACGAGTATTTTGGTTCCCAAAGCACGCTGGGTCCATGTTTTTGGGACCCATAAGTCCTTTCGGTCATTGTACCGTTACAGTCTCTAAGCGTGGAGACTCAACGGACGAGCGAGAGACTGTGGAAGAGTCTAACTATATCCTCATTTCCAGTGCCTGCGCTACTTTGAATGGTCGAGAGACGACGAAAAAAGCATTGAACAAAACCAAACTTACCCTACAAATTTTCTTAATTTTCTTATAAACTTTTCACTGCAGATTTGCTGATTTTCTGACATTAAAACGAAAGAAAAAGAAAGACGATGGTTCAAGCTCACTTGATAAACAGGCCTGGTTTCACGGGAAAATCAACGCTGAGTACGCCGAAATGGTTTTGAAAAAAAATGGAGAATTCCTGGTTCGCGAAGACCCGGCGATGCCTGGAGCTTGCTTTATCGCTGTCAGAACCAAAGAAACTGCGCTACACCTTGCCATAAATAAACTGAAGTCATCCAAGGGCACTCGATTTAAATATAGAATTGAAGATTCCGATTTTGTATTTGATAGCATTTCGGAACTCATTCGGTTTTACGTAAACGAGAGGCGTCCGGTGAGCATCCGACCGCCTGCCGTAATTACGATCGCTGTTAGTCGTGAAGCAGCTTTGCTGTCGGAAGAAGATTTCAGAGGGAGGTTTTCCACAGCAGGAAGCGCGCGAATCAATCGAGCGACGAGGAAACTGGAGAGAAAATCAAGTGATCCCATTCTATCCAAGCGTGTACCTTCTAAACTCTACGAAGAAATCGATGCACAGGATATCCTTGATACACTGGATACCCCGGAGACTCCGGTATTAGAACGAACAAAGTCCAGTTCTGATCCACCGAGCGTGTCCGTTGATGATACAGCCGCTGTCAAGATCGCAAAAAATCGAAAACTCGAGGAATTGAAAAGCAATTCGGCCCCAAGGTCGCGTTCATTAGATAATGTACTTGATTCTTCTTTAGAAGCGGCAAATTGTACTTATGATAGTCCGCGCACTATGGCGATACCAACAAGAGTACATTCCAACACTCCTTACTCTCAGCAGGAGAAAAAGCGTAAGAACTTGGACAAAAGTTATTTTGAAACGGATACGGATTACGCGGTTCCTTCGTCCATTCCTTTACCAGACAACGACGAGGAAATGTCACACAATTCTTCAGACATCGTATACGATGTCCCGCCGTCCAAACCGAGTTTGGAAAAAAAGAGRTCATGTGATGAGAAAACGACTTATATGAATCAGATTGATGTGAGTAACGCACTCGACAATGTCACGCAATCTCAAGAGAAAACCCAAGACGGAAGACATAATATTTATCTGACAGTCGTGAAAAAGTTGCGGGATAAACTAATCCAGCCTTTTTTGCAACAAGATTGTGTGACGCTCGCCAGTCACTTAACGAAAGCTGATCTAGAGCTTGTGTGGAAAGATTCTGAGGATCCAGAAGACGAAGATGGAGGAGCCAAAGGTCTTGAAAGATTGGTTCTTCCTCAAGGACGCGAAAAAAGATGTGCACTACTTGAAAGGTGAGTTGCGTTGCGTTACTCTCTGGTTTAAATGATAAAGTCGCGCCGTCCCTCACCGCTGTGTAGTTTATGCCTGGGGTCGCAAATTAAATAAAGATAATTTTCTTAGGTGCAATGTTTTCCCATTTCATGCAGGCCACCTGTCATTCTCTTGAAAATAAGATTCTTTGTTTGAGTTGTATCCATACGTGGTCTTAAATAAGACGTCTTATAAAATGACTGTTGTAAATCTCGCGTTCTGATTGGTTAGATGCGCGTGCTTCTCCTAACACTTCTCTCGTGTTCTGTCAACCTTCGCGTGCTTTATAACTGCACACAGCACGCGCGCGCGTTTTCTATTTCTTCAATATATCTGTGCTTTCCGGTGATCGTGTCATTTATCAGAGACCTCAATCGCAATCTATCCGCAATCTTACAATGACATTATCAACTGTATTGTAGATACCAGAACTTGACATACTGGGTTGGCTCACTCGTGATCGCTGCTGGAGAGATGGCATCGCGGGCTCAGATGGTTACGAAGCTCATAGAAATGGCGGATATCTTGAGTGACAAGCAAGGAAACCTTGTTTCTTTCATGGCTATCATTRATGGACTTGCCTTACCTCAGGTACGTACTAACTTTCTTTGTTGCCATGGAAAAACGAACCAATCAATTTTACTAAATTCATGAAGAAAGAGACTGGAATTAGAATAGACATGGTGTATACTTCATATACTTCAATTTTCGAATCGACCTTTTCTGCAAACTTTAACATATATAAGATAATATGCACTATATGAAGTACCAGTCTACCCAGAAAAGTAAATTTTTGCCATCATGGCAGAAATAGACAAAATCAAAAAAATGAGATGAAAAGAGACTTCACACAAATTGATACGATGTTTGCGCCCAGTCTCTCTCGCCTTGAAGTCTGGTACAGTAGTTTGGTCGTCACTAGAGAGTTTTAGATTTACGTTCACGGCAAACGTGAAACGTCAGTTGACCAGTAAAAAATTCTTTTAAATTACTGAAAAAGAATCGCAAAAAAAGTCCAATAGTAGAAAAACAAAAGAATATTTGCGCTTGGTGAGAAGGTTTGCAAAAGGTAAAGCAAAATACAGGGAAACTATGAAAACGTGGTCACGTTTGCAGTCAATCTAAAACTCTCTACTTAACTATATCTGTCTGCAATATCACTAGGTCAGCCGTCTTCACCATACCTGGTCATGCTTACAGCATCAGTACTCCAAATCAGCGACTCTCTTCCACAGTACACTGAAGCCACTCGCGGAACTCTTATTAACAGGCGCTCCGAGTCCCTTCCCAGGTGTGTGCCTACCGTATGTAGTCCCTCTTTCAAGGCTTCTTGAGACAACCAGCGAAGCAGATCTCGAGGAATGGCACCAAGATAAACCAGACCAGGGGCTGGAAATAATGTTGGCACATCTCACATCTGGTAGAACCGTCATACAACAAATAGAAACCTTTAAAGAAGAAGCTACGAAGAAAATGAATTTACGAGAAGAAAAACCTGATTTAAATGATTATTTTCGAAAAGGAATCAACATCGGAGACTTGTTAGGAGTTCATAAAGATCCGGTCTTAAGAACACAAAAACTGAAGACTTTGCTGAACTGGTTGTCTGAGAATGCAGAACAAGGAAACAAACAAGCTCCTTAAAAGAGATAATTATTAGAATAATATTAGACATGTTATAGTAAATATTAGTTAATATAAATAATACTTAAAGTTTAATCGCGCAAAAGAGACCGAAAGGAATGGCACAAAATTAAATCCAACAAATGTAACCAGGCGTTGATTGCTGGTCAATCCCAACACGGGTTGAAATCACCAGCAAAGTGAATGCAAATGAAGTGATCACTTTATTATCGAAGGTATAGAGTAGATTTTAAATGACACAGATTTGTCAAGATACAGTCATGGTAAGAATGGAAGATAGAATGGTTTTCGTATGAGTGCGAAACATACGGTACTGACCTACAGCACATACACGGTACGACATGCAGTAACATTGTAATAGCTTCCCATAAGATCATGGTTATCGTATGAGCTGRAAACATGCGGTAATGACCTACAGCACATACAGGGTACGAAATGCCGTAACAATTGCCTTACAGTAATTCGTCCAATCACATCGTGTAGATTCGGATATATAGTAATACACGGCACCATACGGTTATATGGCTAACACTGAAGTGCCATATCCTTTTCCACTTATCAAACCCAAGCGCGCGAAGTCCATGGTCTTCCAATGACTAAATTATGGCATGGCGCACCGTTAGTGCTCCACAGTCATACAAATCTACTCTATCCTCAAGCGGGAATTGTTTGATTTTTGCACTAGATATACATAGTAAATCTAATGCAAAGTTTGATGAGATAGCCATCCTTCCCTATCCTCACTATTAGCTTACGTTCGCCTGCGTTTGCATCCCAAGAGAGAACCACTGGTCTGACTTGCGTATAAAATTTAATTCAATTGCCTTCTTTCTCTGGTATATCTTTATGTAGTAAATAGCTTACTTTACACCGAACTTAATACAAAATGACAAGCTTAAGTTATAAAGAAAAATAGAATTATCAAAATATATTTTGAGTGAGCTTTAAACTTAGAATAATAAAATATAATGCAAACCCATATTTTTCCTCTGTCTCTTTTTTCATACTTAGGGCACTTTCCATCAGGTCTAGCCTACCAACCCGAGCGGGCAGTTGTCAAATGGTATGCGTCAGTTCTTTGGAACTGTTTAGCCAAGGTCTCAAAGCTAATGACAACTGACGCGTACCTTTTTTTATGGTGTCTTCTCATTCTAGGACATGTGTCATTCCGGGTTCTTTTGATCAATTTCTTATTTGCCGACAATCTAAAATTGCCGATGGCCTTAGTAATATAAAAAATATAGTTGATGACTTGAAAACAACTTTTAAAATAGCTTGGAGCTATCATTTATCAAACATATAAAGCAAAAAGTCCGACTGGAATAGATTAAGGCTATGAATCAGCTATCAAAAGTTACGTACACAGCGTTAGTGATGAATTTAAAATATACGTTTTTAAAAAGTGTCTGTAACACACCATAACTACAATTCAAGTGAATCTTAGTGAGTACATTGGATGTTATAAAAATACGGATTTGCTGTCAGATATTCATCACGTCAAACGTCTGCTAGAGAGTTCTGAGTCAAAGCATGTAGATTGGCTCATATTCATACCACGGCAGGATTGCATCGCCATTTTGTTCATTGGGCTGGTCTTTACGTACGTTTTCTATAACTAAAACGAATACCCTTATAAGCCTTTTCATAGTTTAAGAATCGATTACACTGCGCATGCGATTTTATTCCGAATTTCTCACCTTTTGTCTAAACCTTCTTTTGTTCTTAATTAAACAAAAGAAGGTAAGAAATCTGGGATAAAATCGCATGCGCAGTGAAATCGATTCTTAAACTATGAAAAGGCTTATTGTTAAGATAGATATCTCCTCTTTTAATATGGTTTTCAAGTTCGGAGTGCAGGATATTGAAGACGCAAGGGGAGAGGGAGGGGGGAAAGGTGAAATTGCATTTTACTAGAAAGAATTTTTTTTTTCTTAGTCTGAGTTCCAAGGTAAGCATTCATTCTTTTTCTCACATCAATAACATTACTTCTAACCAAACGGGTAACGTTTTTTTGTTGATAGTGTTTTGGTTTCTGAGAATTTGGAATTGATAGAAAAATGTCTCCTCAAATCACTCTGGTTAGTGAAATGCCATTTCACTTAGTTAAAACCTTTAGGTGAACTCACCCGTGCGTTCCGCGAGAGCGCACTTGTGTTTTCTTATTGCTGGATATCCAGCTGGCGTGAGAAAGAGTAAAGTGACTCTGGCAGCTGGATATGTGTTGGGACAAGTGCGATGCATTTTTCGCATCGGACCAAATTTGTTCCGGTCAAACAAACTTCAAAGGATCGGAGCCGGTTTTAACATGATTCGAAGGCCCCTAAATAGAATAGCAAGTACTACTGACCTGCTACACCAATGACTGGAGCAGCTGCATCCAACTCATCGTTCTCTACTGGTATTCGTCCATTCCATCTTTGATTGATGAGAATAGCTTGTCTTATTAGCCATTCTCGTGTATTTGACCAATAAAGTATGACACCGACCAAATAGAGACAGCCGATTAACCAAACGATGCCTTAAAGAAAAAAGTAATCAAATGTCAGTTAAATAGTCAGTTAGTCAAAACAGTCGAGCATATAAATAGTAAATTGAAAAACGGGTCGGCGTCTTCAACGCGGAACGTGAGTATTTATAGACACTAGGCAGATAAAGATTCCCGTTTTTTTGCTTCCCGCAAACGGTAAATGCGACCACGTATTCATCGTTTTCCTACATTTCATTTTATGTTTTACAAACCTTCTTACCAAATAGAAGTATTCTTTTGTTTATCTCCTACTTGGAGTTTTTGCGATTCCTTTTCACTAATTTTAAAGAATTTTTTAATCTTAAACTCTCTACTGCGCTGCGACCACGAGCTGAGTTTATGAGTTAACACATATCTACAGTTGTCACCCAGATACAAAATAAAACTACGAATGACAGTTCTGTGAAGATCACACGTAAACTAAAATTTGAATAAAATTCTTTCTATTCTCTAAAAAGGAAACTTTTTAAAACACTAAAGAAGGTGCAGATCGATCGTGCTTAGTAAAATGGATTCAAACTGATTTTAGATTTCAATGATTCATTTCAATTAATTAATTTATAGTATAGCATCTGATACAGCTAAAAGGTAAGGTTAAATATGCATACATCGAAATTACCTGAATCGGCTAACCAGTTCTCCACTAATTTGTAGCTTCTGCTAAAACCATCTAACAAAACTGTGCTCCAAAATAAAAACAAACAGAAAATGACGATGAGAGCCAAGAGAACATGGACCGTCATCTTATCCGAATATGAAATGTAGAAATGTTATGTTTTCTAATTAAAGCTCTTGTAGAGAGTAGAGAGTAATTTGCAACGCGACCTCTCAGCCTCCCGCGAGAGTATATATATAGACTGTTCCTGAGACCCGGGAATCCCCTAATTTGCATTTCTGTTGAGGTCGTAAATACAAGTTATACAGTAGATGCTTGACAGGCAGCCGTGAATAACGATAATTCAGTCAACTCTACTTCATAATAGGAAAGGATTCAAGTTAGTTTAACCATTATATGCTACAGTATTTTGTCAAATTAAAAATRTTTATAATTAAAACCACTGGATTTACTTTTACTTTGATAAACAAACAAACAAACCTTACAAATCCAGCTAGACTTAGCCTCCTTTGCAGCCGTTCTTAGGGTCGTCACGCAACATTTCCCTAAGAACGGCTGCGAAGGAGGCTAAGCTAGACTGGGAACGAGGAAAACAGTTGCTTTAACTGCACTGTTGCATTCTGTTGCATAGTTCTAGAACAAAGGAGAGAATTTTGGAACTCTTCGGATATACTTTCTTGGTTTTGGGTTCTTGTGAAGATCCAGACATTAGAGTAAGTAACAAAACACGATATGCTGRCAACATGAAATACTTGCATACGTACGGACCAAACCTTTCTAGTAAAAGGTATAATGACTAT